GGACTTCAAATATCTAAAGGGCTGTCCCATGGAAGATGGAGCAAGCTTGTTTTCTCCTGCTCTGGAGGCTAGGACCCAAACCAATGGATTCAAGTAACAAGAAAGGAGATTCGAACTTAAACAACAGAAAGACCTTTCTGATAGTAAGAGATGTTCGGCAGTGGAACGGACTCCCATGAGAGGTGGTGGAGTCTCCTTCCTTGCCTTGGAGGTTGTTAAGCAGAGATTGGATGGCCATCTGTCATGCATACTTCAGTTGAGATTCCTGAATCGCATGAGGTTGGACTAGTTGACCCTCGGGATCCCATGCAACTCTACAATTCCATGATTCTATTATCTGGATGTCATGGACATCTACCGCATATAGGTTGATATAATTAGTGACAACAATCCTTCTAAGCCTGTGCCACTCTATGAAAATTTATTTTTCTGAATTACTTTATTTATTTAGTAAATAGCCTCAAAAGGGTATCCAAGTTTGGGCTTTGTAGCCTCAAGAGGCTATTCAAGTGGCTTTACACAATGCAATTATATTCAAAGGGTGAGGACCACTTGTGCTGAATTGCTTGTGCAATTGATTTCTGCTTGTACAAAAATCCCCTTGAGCACCTTGAGAAGCCTCTACAGCAGGCTGAGGACAAGCAGGGACTGCAGAGGGAAGGAGGAATGGGAATGGGGAGAGTGGGCTTGTGGCAGTTTTGTTGTTGTTGTTGTTCTTATGTATTTTGTGTTTTTACCTTATATTTTAATGTTGTTAACCGCCCTGAGGTCTATGGATGAAGAGCAGTAGACAAACAAACAAACACATGGAAACCACAATGTCCCCATTATTGCCACAATCCCTGAATCCAACAACAATCAAGACCCAGAGCTGGAGGCTGCAGAGGCATCAGCTAAGGACCCACATCACATTCAGAGCTCTGAGCTAACTGCTGGAGATCCAGGGAACTCTGTAATTGAGGGGGGCAGATAGAACTAGCAGGACCAAACCCTGGACCCTCATGGGTGCCTTCCCAGAGGATCCAGATGCCTCCCATTACACCAGTCCAGCGACTAGCCCCGTGAAGAGCTTGTTGAGGTCCAGGGCCAGAGTCTTGTTCTTGGCATGACAGCGTAAGTCCGGCGGGCCCCTGGTTGGGGCCCCCAAACAGCTTAGCCCTCCAAGTCATGGGGCAAGTGTACCCAGCTGCTCCACCACTCTGCACAAGCTTCCCAGAGACACAAGGAAGACATCAGTAGGGAGGCTAGGGAATGGAGGAGGAATGGCTGCCTCCAGGCCCTTTAAGCCTCTGAAGTTCTCCATGAGACGGTGGAGCCTAGAGGAACTAGTCTGTTTTCTCAGAGTTGTTTATGGTTCTGCAACTTTTGAGGATAGGGAGGGAGAGGGTGGGTGTGTGGAACCTAGCCTGTTGTACAAAGGTAAAATTCACAGTCGCTGCTCTGCCCCACTTTTGCCTCTGGCCCTGTCCTCTGTTGACATTTGGCTCCCATAAAGGTTTCTCAGAAGTAAATGTGGTCCTAAGTTTCCCACTCCAGCCCTATAGCTAACATTTCAACTCAAAGGTTTTTTTTTATCTGCAATGTGTTTTTAAGCAGTTTCTCATCACAAAATTATTATCCCCATGTTCCTCTTTCTATTACACATGGAAGCATATTGCGGTTGTGGAAGCATCACGCAAAGCCTAATGGGCCAAGGTTTGATAGATTATGTGGAAAGCTGTAGAAAAACCAGTGTTTATATATTATTGAGTTCTGGAAGACGACTATGTCTGCATAACTTTAAAGGCTGCTCCAACAACAAAACTGCAGGTGCCAACTTTGCCTTTGTTCCCTGGCTCCCTTTCTGTAAGTACAACAAAAGTTTTCTTATCTACAGCTCACACATCAGGGTAAATTTCCTTGACCCACTTCCTAGCTAAAAGCCTTTGTGAAATCTCTGCGTTTTTATATTCTTGTTTCACAAAACAACGGTACATTAAATTAAAGCACTCTTGGTCAAGATAAGGCAGCGTATTGGGCGATTCTTATTGTTACTTTTCTTTTACATAATCAAGAATAAATCTTAGGTTTTCAGTGTGGCTTGTATGCTGTCTGAATCCATTCAACTGCCCTTGCCTTTCCTTTGCAATTATACCATGATCTACTAAGCATGCCCACAACATGGTCTTCAAACAATTCTATTGTCACCAGACTATTGCACCACCACAAGCTGCTCTCATTTCATTGATGTTGCAGTACTATACCCATTTACCCATTGTACTCATAGTTTTGAGTAGAAGTGTATAGGATTGCATTGTAAGACTGTGGTCAAAAGAGATATTTGAGAATCAAGGCTTTCTGATAGAATTCACCAGCCACAAACATCTACAGGTTAACAGTTTCACCCAGGTAACCATAACCAATGGAAGCACATAGCTTTTGTGGTTAGCTTGAAAGATCAGCCTATCTGTGCATTCGCTGACGTGAGTGGCAGCTTTGCAACTGCCCTTCATCCTCATCCTCTCCCTCCCTCCTGCCACTGTTGACCTCTAACTCCATGTTGGGCAAAAGATTCCTGCATTGCAAAAGGTTGGACTAGACAATCCTTGTGGTCCCTTCCAACTCTACAATTCTATGATTCTATGACAACAAACCTAGACAGCACCTTAAAAAGCAGAGACCTTGCCAACAAAGGTACATATAGTTAAAGCTATGGTTTTCCCAGTAGTGATGTATGGAAGTGAGAGCTGGACGGACCACAAAGAAGGCTGATCGCCAAAGAATTGATGCTTTTGAATTATGCTGCTGGAGGAGACTCTTGAGAGTCCCATGGACTGCAAGAAGATCAAACCTATCCATTCTTAAGGAAATCAACCCTGAGTGCTCACTGGAAGGACAGATCGAGAAGCTGAGACTCCAATACTTTGGCCACCTCATGAGAAGAGAAGACTCCCTGGAAAAGACCCTGATGTTGGGAAAGATGGAGGGCACAAGGAGAAGGGGACGACAGAGGACGAGATGGCTGGATAGTGTTCTCGAAGCTACCAGCATGAGTTTGACCAAACTGCGGGAGGCAGTGCTCTGGTCCATGGGGTCACGAAGAGTCGGACACGACTAAACGACTAATCAACAACAATGACAACAAATGTTCGGATTGCCTCATGCCAGTTTCTGATGTAGCAATGCTTATTCAGAAGTAAAACCCCACAGGGTTCAATGAGGTTAACTCCAAAGAAACTACAGTATGTAGTGGCCTGCCCAAGTTCCCTTTATACTGAAGGTTGAAAGGGGAGCACTCTCACAAACCAGAAAGCCATTCTTCCAAAGTACTGTTATATAAATCTCAAACACACCTACATGACTTCATCCAGCTATTTTTATTGGCTAGCTAGGGTGGGTCTACGGATGCAGGCAAAAGAAACACTGAAATTACTGTGTACAGTTCTAATTCTAACTTAGATTCTAGCCAAACAATGAAGACCAGCAACAAATCTAAGAATATACTTCACTTCAGCACAGACCACACAATCATTTCCGTTTATTTTTGTAACAGTTTATGCAGCAACTCAAAAAAACCCTAGTTGCGCAATACTGTAGAATTACGGTAGATACAATAAAAAAGTCACTAATATGCAATATTTCGTACATCTAGAACTACTCATAGTGATGGAATATTTTAGAAACTTAAAACAATTATATATGATAGTCGCAAATGAGCTCTAGAGCCACTGCAATCTTAGCCTTCAGCCCATTTGTATAGGGTGATGTGCAATTCAAAGGATGTTTACTCAGAGGAAGTCCTGCTACATATAATGAAATTTACTCTCTGGCAAGTGTGTTCAGGATTACAGGACTAACAACCCAAAATCTAGAAGTGGTGTGGTCCCTTATAATATATATTGCAAGGTATCTTTTTTTTATACAAAAATATCTTCAAAACAATCTGCTTCTGCAGACCTTTGAAAACTAATTTTAATGATTGTTCTTGTTGTATATTTACTTATTAAACTAACAAAGATCAAAGTAACAAACTTTCTGGTGGGTATAAAGTTCACATTGTGATGCAGTGTGATTAGGAAATAAGAGGCTGTATACAAAGATAGCATCATTTAGACACAGTTTGGGGGGTCATTATTGTGGAAATAGTTTCTCTATCTAGGAAATGGGTGTGAGAGCAGCCTAGGTAGAATTTCTAGGGAGCAAGCATCCTAGCTTGGCAACAGGAAAGGACATCACTTTCGTATAGGAAATAATGTATGTGTACATCCTGCACTCAGTTGTCACGTGGTATGATTGCAAAGAAGAATGGGAAGGAGCTTGTACTGGATACAATCACAGGGAGCAACAGCCAATTATGCCTTCTGAGTCAAAACCCAATGCACTATTTAGTTACTAAGATGCATACTCCACCTTTCAAGGCAAAACAACTCTCCAAGACAGCTTACAAAAACAAAATAAAAGAAAGATTTAAATTGCAACATTCCAAAAACCAAGTAATACACAGCAGCAGTAGCATATATCAACATAAACAGAAAAATGTAAAAGGCAGATACAAGTGCGAAATTATTTAGCACATACTAATTTAGAGAGCTATTTTGGATGACAACTCCCATCGGATCCAGGCAGCATGGAAATGGTCAGGAATGACAGGACGTGTAGTCCAGAACTTCGAGAGGGAACCAGGTTGAGGAAGGTTCCTTTAAAGAAATGCAATACATTCCAGTAACCCAGCTGAAACTGCCTCTGGTGCAATACACTTTATGACACAGCTGCCTTCTTCGGTCTCTCCACTCCACACACAACAGAATCGACAATTACATTCCTAAAGGCTGGGAAGCGAGAGAGCCGCAACCGCCGAAGCTACAATGTTTGGGGCGAAAGCAGCGGGTAGTCCGACGCGAAAGCGTTTGCGCTCTGCACATGTTCAGAGGCACCGCTTCCTAAAAGCGCCTCCCCCACAAAGTTTGACCAACTTGAGCCTGAAATCGTGCCTTTAAGGCCTGAGCCGGTCCAAAGCTCACCTCGCTTGTCTCGGGTGCCGTGTTTCTTGGCCAGCGCCAGCTCCTTTTGGATCCTCGCCTCCAGATACTCCTGCTTCTTGGTCAGCATCTCCTCGGTCTCCCGCAGCCGGGCTAAAGCCTCCTGCGGGCTCGGGCCCCCTTTGCCTTTCCCCTTGGCGCCTCCTCCGCCCTTGAAAAACTTGTGGATCTTGCTCATCTTCGCCCCGCCGAGGACCAGCCGCCTTTGCCAGGGATACGATCGCGCCTCCTCGACGCCCCCAACTCCCTAGAGCTCTTCCCTAGAAAACAAGCTCAGAGACGCGCCAGAGAAGCACCAGGAGGGGAAGGAAGTGGCTGCTGTTGCGGCGGCTCCCGAGGCCGACGGCCGAGCCACGTGACCCACACGTACCTGCGACAGGTGTTGCCACCTGGGGAACGTGCGGCGCCAGCGGAGAGGCTTCTCTCAAACGGGAGCCCCAGCAGGAAGAACCAGCCAAACCGTGGGACAGCCGCTGCACTCTGCACATGCTCGCCAGCGCCCTCCTTCTCATTCCTTCCCTGCATTCCTGGGTTGAGCAGTGATTCGTTTGGGGCTTTATCAGGTGTCAAAGATATAAACTATCTGACGTTTAGAAGACATCTGATAGCAGCCTTGTTTAGGGAAGTTTTTAATGACTGATGTTTTAATGTATTTTTAATCTTTTGTTGGAAGCCGCCCAGAGTGGCTGGGGAAACCCAGCCAGATGGGCAGGGTATAAATAACTACTTCTTCTCCTTCTTCTTCTTCTTCTTCTTCTTCTTCTTCTTCTTCTTCTTCTTCTTCTCGCAACATGAAAAGAGCGCAACCTGAAGCGCCGTATGCGCAGGTGCGCGGCTTGATTTGGTAATTGTGCGCATGCGCGAAGCGCGATTTAGCACTTCTGCGCATTCGCGAGTGGCGAAACCCGGAAGTAACACTTTCCAGTACTTTCAGGTTGCGGCGGGACGTAACCTGAAAGAACGTAACATGAAGCGGATGTAACATGAGGTATGACTGTATTATTATATCAGAGCCAGGTTGAAAACTTGGGAAACCTTAAGACCCTCGTGGTACCTAAATGCAAATAAGACTATTATTATTATTATTATTATTATTATTATTATTATTAGCCTGGATAGCTGGTTAGAGTGTGGGGCTGATAATGACAAGGTTGTAGGTTCAATCCCCATATGGGACAACTGCATATTCCTGCACTGCAAGGGGTTGGACTAGATGATCCTCAGGGTTCCTCCCAACTCTATAATTCTATGATAAGCTTTCATGGGCTGCCGTCCATCAGAATCGAGGCTGGTCAACGTTACTCGCATTTTACGGATTTTTAAGGTTTGACCCCACCCAACTCCCAAATTGTTGCATTAGGAAGGATCTGGATTCGGGAACAATCCAGCATGATGGTTTAATATTGCTTTATACGGAATACCTAATTTACGCGGTTCTTGCTTCGTTGAGGGGTACAATGAATCCAGCGTTATGTTAGAAAAAACTGAAAATAAACGTAAATATCCAGCAATATTAAGGATACCAAGACACGGGGAGCTAAGCATTTGTGCCATGACATCTTGCTTTAGTCATAAAGCTTACAATAGGCATGACTACCAAACAGCGTGCCTTGATTAATCCTTCCGCTTTACATGTATAGATTCAAAAGCCAAAGAGATCTCTAGTCTAGGTAACTAATGTGTCATTTTAAATTGTAATGGCAAGGAAGATTCCTACTGATCAGCGGTGGTCAGGAGAGCAGTTATGTCATGAACCCCACATGAGTCACCGCGTGTACCTGCAATGATTGACAGCACAGTGCAACGTATGCTTGCTCAGAAATAAATCCCTCACATCTACTGGGGTTTAAGGTAGACTCTAAGTTATAGTTACTTAACTGGAAGCAACCCTCACTGACATAATTGGGCTCTTACTCTCTAGTAAACTGATTTTATGCCTAATAATGCAACTCTAGACATACCTACTCAGAGGTAATGCCCATTAAGTTTACTCCCGGGTAAGTGATATAGTAGTAATTTATACCGTCTAGGCGAGTGGGAAAGCTCTAGAATTTCTATTTATGACTTTTGTATGTCTCTGAATTTTTTTTAAGGTCTCTGGAAGTTTTTAAGGACTTTAAAACAAAATAAAAAGTAGAATATAAAACCATTTTTTAAAAGTGCGGTTGCAAATCTTCCCACGTTTACCTGGGAGTAAGTCCCATGGAAACGGGCAAGACTTAAATAGGAGTAAGTGCGCTGTGCGCCCCCCCCCAAAGTACATCAGAAAGGGGGCAGACGTCACTTGACAGCGGGTAGGCGCTGCTCCTACACAGAGCCCGGCCCACCTATCCCTCAAGCTCCGCCCCTTAGATGACGCCCAATGTTATTTGGAATGCCGCGGCTCGGGAGGAGGAGCCCATTTTATCCTTTTAGAGCCGCCGGAACATGGTGGCGGGGCGCGCATGCGCCGTGCACCACCATGGCGGAACTGGAGATTGGACAGCACTGTGAAGTGGAGGACTGCGGGCAGCTTGGTAAGGAGCCCTTGAGCGGCAAGGGCAGACCATGGGACTCTCCGTGGCGGGGGAGGGGGAAGTGCATCTTCATGGCACCACTTCTGAGTCTCAGGTTTAAGCTCCGAGGGGCGAGTTGGCATTGGACGAAGAAGCAGCACCATGGAGATTCGAGGGTAGAGCGGCTTCCTGCTCCTGCCCTTCCGGAAGTGTAGCCTAATGTACTGTTCTGACGCTTTTTGCTTCTATGGGTGTGGAAGGTAAAGGGGAGGAGATAGTGGACAGTAACCAAATTAAGGGGCGTGGCTCTTTCCAGAAGTAGGCGTGGACTGTTGCTTGGTAGCCCGTGGTGTTTAGCTAGCACTGGTTATCACTAAAGGCAAAAAGGTGTTTATCCTGTGGCAGATTTGCTTAGATAGAAAAGGTCATGCGCTAGAGCTCACGTCTGCCAGGCCAAGTGTGTGTGCGTATATGTGTAGGAGAGTAGTTATCTTTTATTTAAGTTTCATTTTATGGTCTTATCACAAAACGTAGCTTGCACTCAATATAAAACCCTAAAACTGCCAGTTCTAGTGCTTTATTAAAGGAAGTTGGAGACTTACAGCAAATCAGTCCACCAGTTCTTCTGGCCTTTGCAGATGCAGGACGGACTTCGCAGCAAGGAGATGGCTAGTCTGCGCCCAAGCAAAAGTGTCTACATTCTTACACAAAGCAGCATGTGTCATTTCACTTGACCCAAACCTTACAGATGGCTCCCCTTTCTGGCTCAGAGCCCATCACTCCAAGCCCACAGATAAGGATAACAGCAAAGCCAGCCAGTTAGCTTATATAAAACAAGTGAATGCAAACATATATGAGCTCATTGCTACGACAACTACCAGTTAACTGTGGGGTTATCGTGACTACCAAGATGGCGTTGGCAAAGCTTCCAGAACACTTCAGCTTCGGTTCAGCACAGGTGTTGATTGACGTATGAGATTATCTGTCTTATTTTTGTCACTGTCTTATTATTGCACCTGTAAAATGTATATAGATATGAATTCATTTAAATCACTTCTACAATGCTTTACATTTCCAAAAACAGCTCTCTACAACCTCTCTTAAAAGATCAAATGATATGTTACAAAATACGCACACACAAAAATTACAAATGAAAGTGAGATACAATAAAGATTCGCGTTTAAAACAACACGAGTAACCTAAACAGAAAAGTAAAAATATCAAAAATTCATTTGAGTGTTATCTTTTTCATTTTAGATTTTCTCCCCTTTGTTTGTGATGGCTGCTCAGGAGTCTTCTGGTAAGAAAGAATTTATGCTACAATCCTAACTCCCCAGATATAAAGGTAAAAGGTAAAGGTACCCCTGCCCGTACGGGCCAGTCTTGACAGACTCTAGGGTTGTGCGCCCATCTCACTCAAGAGGCCGGGGGCCAGCGCTGTCCGGAGACACTTCCGGGTCACGTGGCCAGCGTGACATTGCTGCTCTGGCGAGCCAGAGCCGCACACGGAAACGCTGTTTACCTTCCCGCTAGTAAGCGGTCCCTATTTATCTACTTGCACCCGGGGGTGCTTTCGAACTGCTAGGTTGGCAGGCGCTGGGACCGAGCAGCGGGAGCGCACCCCGCCACGGGGATTCGAACCGCTGACCTTTTGATCGGCAAGCCCTAGGCGCTGAGGCTTTTACCCACAGCGCCACCCGCGTCCCAACTCCCCAGATATACCACATCCTAATTTCTCCCTGCAGGCATATTCTTCCCCACACATAGATGACTTGACCCAGGCATATTTATTTATGGGTGCTGAGGGATAGCCCTGCTGGCTTAAGTCAAACCAGCAAGAGCAATGTCAGAGTAAATGCCCCAAAGGGCATGTCAAGGGTGAGAATGGGAGTGGTGAAGTGAAGTGAGAAGGATAGACAAAGTTGCACTGCATCCTGACTCACTTTGTTCACTGGTCCTACCCACAAAGCTCAGTATAACATATCAAAAAATGCAGGTGTAACTAAATTCACCCCATGGGAGACAATGGAAGGTCAGAAAATGAAAGCTTACACTGTCACCCACAATCTGGTCTTGATCCACTGGCCAGGAGCAGTTAGGATGTAGGAGATGCACTGGCTTAACTGCCTTCTGGAATATCTGTCTGTATAGGATTGCTCTGCTCTTCTTATTTGTACAGCACCATCAGTTTTTGTGGCACTTAAAAGAAACAGAAGAACAAGAATATATATGAAATATTCCCCACCCTGAGGAGGTGTCACCCTTGAGATGCTGTTGGATTCTCAGCTCCCATCAGCCCAGCCATCTGGTCAGGGCTGGTGGAAGTTTTAATCTAGTTACATCTGGAAGGCTACAAGTTCCACATCCCTGATTAAGTCATTTGGATGGATGGGCTGGGAAACAACATAGCTAACAAATAAACAGAGAGAAGAGAGGAATGAGCAAAAATATGCATGTTTATTATGTATTTTTAAAGCTTTGTTCAATTGAAGCTGTAGCATTCTTGATTAGTTTTGCTGAGATAACTTTTCAGAAAAAATGTGCCAAGTCTTTTTTTGTTCTCCTGTTAATTCACACACTAATGATGTGTTGGTCTTTATTTTTTGTAATTTTAAGTCTTCAGCACAGAAGTCAGGCTGCTCATGGTTGTTCTGAGGTAAGTTGATAATTTTTAATCATCTGTAGCATTCAACACCTCTGGAATATTTTAGTTAACAGTGAAGTTCCCTTAAGCTCATTCTGAATAATTTTGCAAGCAATGCTTTGTAAGTTTTTGTTCAGCAATTCACATGATCTTTTTGCCAAATTATGTTTTAATTGTATGCTTGTAAATCACCTTGAGACTTAGGTGAATGGCTTGGCTTAGCATGTCATCCAAACCAGAGTTCATGGTTTAGCTCTCCCAGAGAAACCACAAGCCATAATGTACAAGACAAACCTTGGTTACAGCTTGTGGTTCATCTGAAAACAGCTTAACCACAAGCCTG